TATTTCGGTGTTTAATAACAAAAAATGGCACTGTCCGCTTAAATGAATCTTTTTGCACTGAATTTTGTTGACAAATTTCTAATCTCTACAATGCAGTCAGCTTGAGATGTCAAAGTAAATTACATCTATAACTAGCGTCATCTAAATGTGAGCCGCGGAAATTAAGTTTAATTTAGTACCTAATGGTCAGAATTATTATGGTCAGAAACCAAAGAGATAGAACTTGTGACGTCATTAATTGCTCTCGGAGCAATGATTAAACTCGCTATGGTTAAATATTTTTAAATTATAACATTACAATATTATTTATATAGGTATCAAGCGGAGACAGAGCTTCGATTGAATGGACAGCGGACACCAAGTTCACCTGGTTCTCAGGCTTCGCAGGTGTATATGGAACATTCGTATTCGTTGCCACCTGCACAACCTGAGCCGGTGGAACCGGTGATACGAGTACCACCAGCCTCGATAAAAGTAAAACATCCAAAGATTGTTAAATTGGCGAAATCGAAAGATAATACTCATAAAACCGAGAAACAGAAATCTAAGAAATATACAAAAATACACAGCAATCAGAATCATGTGAGAGAAAAGGAAAATATCCGAAATGATTATATATACGATAAGCTTCCTAAACAGGTTCCAGAACCGACTGTCACGTACAAAGAACGAGATCTTATGTCAGAAATGGCTATTTTGTACGAGTTTTTAACTAGGGGAATAGACTCAGAGGATGTAGAATATTTGAGAAGAAGTTATGAGGCTTTATTAGCGGATGACACTCAAGGTTACTGGTTGAACGATACGCACTGGGTTGATCATTCGCCGACGGATGTACCGAGCCCCGCGAAAAAGAGAAAACGAGACGAACTCCGATTGCATGCGAGTGGAAGCGCTAGAACGGAAGGATATTACAAAGTTGACATCAGGGAGAAGGCTAAACATAAAGTAAAAAATTATATATCTGATATGTTTGTAAAAGTACATTTTTCTAAAAAAAAATTTAAAATTCAGACATGCTTATATTGTAATGTTATTTTATTATCAAAGAAAGCTATAGAAATCTATAGAAAAGCAGCAAATCATGCTTTTTGCTTTTGCAGCATCATTATGCTCAAAGTATACAGCGCAGTAATGATGTGGAGGACAGCGGCGGCTCTTACAGTGGAGGTGATGGTGTAATGAATGGTCCAAAAAATAATTCTAAAGCGTTGACTGGCAAAATGCAAGCATTGTCACGCGAGGCACGAAGTAATCAACGCCGACTATTAACAGCTTTTGGAATTGATACGGACAGTGATCTCCTTAAGTTTAATCAATTAAAGGTAGAATATATAATTCAAAATATCTATTAACATAGGCAGTGATATATATATATATATATATATAATTCAATATATCTATTAATATCGATATAATTAATATCGATAATATTTTAATTCATAATATATATTTTGTGTTTTAGTTCCGTAAAAAGCAATTGAAGTTTGCTAAATCTGGTATTCACGATTGGGGCTTGTTCGCCATGGAACCAATCGCGGCCGATGAAATGGTTATCGAGTATGTTGGACAAATGGTTAGACCGGTTGTAGCCGATCTACGAGAAGCTCAATACGAGGCCACTGGAATTGGAAGTTCTTACCTCTTCCGCATCGATTTAGATACAATTATCGATGCGACGAAATGCGGCAATTTGGCGAGGTTTATAAATCACAGTTGTAATGTAAGTCACTCTATTTTTTTAATCTTGACTGGCTATGCAATATGATAAATATATTTTGTATGTGTATATGTGTGAAAAATAGAGAAATTTGAACATAAAAAATTGAAAATTATAATCTGAATTAAAATTAACACTTAATGAATTAATAAAAATATTGATATTAGTTTTCTTTCTTCTGATTTATATTCCAATCTTAATCTCTAGTTTATTAATATGGTCATAACAAAACTCAATATTAATTAATCTTGAAGTAAGAGAAGCAGAGTAATATATTTATAATATTATTACATAATATGTGTGTGTGTGTGTGTGTGTGTGTAATATATATTTTATATTGTGGTTATCAAATCTTTATTTCTTTTAGCCAAATTGTTATGCAAAAGTAATCACGATCGAAAGCCAAAAGAAAATCGTAATCTACAGTAAACAACCGATAGGAGTTAATGAAGAAATTACTTATGATTATAAATTCCCATTGGAGGATGACAAAATCCCTTGCCTTTGCGGAGCTCCTCAATGCCGTGGTACCCTCAACTGAATTGTTCATTCTTTTTCCTGTCTTCATACTTCATCATACCCTACTCATATTTTTGTAAATATTTCCCCATGTAAACATTTTATAAAAATGCAATGGAAAATGCTAAATTATGTTAAGATGCGTTCTTCCTACTTTATTATGAGACCCTTCTGATCCAGTATATGACTTTGATATTTGGAAAAGTGAGATAAATGTCTGAATCATTACTACATCTAATGGTAGAATTATATTACAGCGTTTTATTTTATATTTATCGTCGACTGCTAAACATGTTAATTGATAAATAATATTAACAGAAATACAATTGACATTGTATTTAGTGCAATTATGTATACAATTATAAACAATGTAAATATTCTCAATGTATTATAAACAGAGTGATTTTCTCAATTGTATGTCAATAATTTAGAGAGTAAATTTGAGATATAAAATGAGAAAAGAATATTATATGAACATAGATTTAAGTTTTATTTTCCAAGTTATAATAAAAGTTAAAGAAATTCAAATCACATTGTTTCATCTAGAGTAGCACAAAGTCTTATGTGTCTCGTGCATTACGCTAGAATGATGCAAAAATCTGTTTCTACTTTTACGTTTTTCTAGCTTTAGATAGGTGGCCTGCTCTTTTTGCAAAAAAGGTAGCCAGCTTAAATCTAAACTTTTTTTTAATTCCCTAGGAATTATGGAAAAGACTAGGAAACCTAAATATATGTTTGGCTAGCAACTAGGTGGCGCTGAAAACATGGAAGTGTGGAGGTTAGATTATGATTGTTTTTACCGTTTTCTGAGATTGTTGTTTTAGAACGTCTTTTTCAATAAACAGGTATAAACAAAATTTCGAGTGCGTTATGATAACGTGGTTGCATAGAAAATAAAGTGATATTTTAATCGATTATATTGTTTTTCTTTAAGAAGCGCTGAGATTTTTGAATTGTCTTGACAGGTGGGGTAAACTCTTGCACTCTTACCTTTATTGATTCTTATGAATGTTACAAGAGACATTATCTAAATTAATTACAAGTGATCCGTATTAATTCGATATTATGGCAGATCGCCTAACACAGTTGCAAGACACTATAAATCAGGTAATAAAATATTTCTATTTTATTGTCTCATATGTTTATTATCTTGGTATCTTAATGATTTTAATTGTCGATTTTGTGTTAGCAAGCAGAACATTTTTGCAACAGCGTTGGTATTCTACAACAGTATTCTACGCCCAGTAAATTTCCTGGTTTTGATCGCATTGGTACGCCGCAGCCACATCAATCTCAAGAAGGTTTTTACATGTTTCAATACACATTGATAACGTAATACTACTCTTTAGTACATACAATAATTTTACAGTCCTTTATACATATAGATCATTTATGTTCTGGATTAATTTTTATTACAATACTTTTACAAGTATATAAAAATTGATTGTATTTATTTAGGATTAAATATCCACATTGATTATAAATCATAGTTCTATTTTAGATTATGCTGCCTTATTTGCAAATCTCATTGCAAGGTGTGCCAAAGATATAGATACATTAATAGAGAGTTTGCCGAGTGAAGAATCATCACAGGAACTACAAGTAGCCAGCCTTAGCAGACTCGAACAAGAGAATCAACAGGCTGGTGAACAATTAGAGGAAGTGGTAAGACAAGGGGAGATGCTTCTTCAGCGAATTCAAGCAGCTCTACAGGATATTGCGCAAAGTCAATTAGATATGCAGAATCCTACGTCGACGACTGTGATTAATATGAATCTTAGCACTTCTAATATAAAACAAGAAACCCTCAGTTCTATAAATACCGTGTCCTCAAATAATACACATCAGCTGTCAAATCCTTCACCTAATTCAATAAATCAATGACATATTTATGATTTATTGTAAGCTATTATATTTATTGTTTACTAGAGACTTATAATTTTAAAACATTTTGACAGTCTGTAAAATCAAATCGGTATATGAATTCCATGTATAAAAGACGACTACTATTGTCACTATAATTACTAATTATATGACATTTTATTTAAAAAAATATCGCTTAAGACAATAAATGAAACATTAATTTACAGTGTTACAATATTTTAGTACAATTGTATTTATAATAAAAATATAAATTTAATAATATACTAAAATTAAAGCTTAAAACAATTTATTAATCATTGAAAAGGAGAGTAGTTTTATTACAGTGAATTTTTTAGATAATACATTAATTAATCTGTATTTATTTATATTTAGCATTTTATAATGTATGTCAATGTGTGTAGATGAAAGAAAGAAAAACTAATGGAAATTTTTTGAATTCTGCAATTCTTGGTGTTTTATTTCTCTTATTTAACAATATATTTTTAATGGCAATTTTTGAGATTCTTTATTTTTTCGACTTGAAATCTAATTCAAAATTTTGGTGTTGAATTCATATATGTTCACACATATTTGTGTTTCAAATCAATGACATATCGTGACTTACAAATGATTTAAATTAATTTGAATAGGTTGATGCTAATTTAAAAAATCATTAAAAAATGTTGCGAATATTGATTCGTAAACCTTATTACAAACTTTTAAAATCTCACAATCATGAGTTTTATTCGCTAATTCGACAATTAGGTTACAGGTAATTACATTAATAAATCAAGATTCTAAATAGTATTAAGTGTTTAATCGTATAAGTAATATAAAAAAACCATTTTTTTAGAAACTTATTCTTTTAAATTAAATTTTAAAAATTATGAGAGAATTTGTTATATAAAATATTAAAATTTAATTTCTGAGACTGTAGGCACAATGTACTGTCTAGTTTTTTCTTATCCTTTTCATTACATCATAAGATACATTTTCATCAATTTATATTAATTCACATCAATTATGTAGCTTAATACGAAAAAAATCGGAAAATAGTAATCAAACAGAAGTATGCATTGATAAACCAACAAAATGGCCAAGTGGAGAGAGAGCTAATTTTGATTTCCACGAAGAAACCGAAGCTGCTATGAACGAGCAAATAAGTGTGGAGCTGAAGGCATTTTATTATTATTTATCGATGGCACGATCCTTTTAATTTTTTTTAACTTTAAATACAAGAAATTAGGATTTTACACAAATCATAGATTTTAATTTTTTTAATTACTATAATTACAAATTGCCCTTATAACATGTGTCCTTTTGTTATAAAATTAAATAATTTAATTGCTATTTTATGAAAATTTATATTTCATACAGGCTGCATATTTCGGTCGCGTGGATGTCGCTTTACCCGGCTGCGAGTCATTCTTTATGCAGATGCATCATGAGGAACATGAACATGCCTTGAGATTTGTTAACTATGTCAAAATGCGAGGCGGCAAAGTGCATTTATGCGCTATAGCGCCGCCAAATCAAGATTGGAAATGCCCATTGCATGCATTCAAAGTAAATTTATTTTGTTTACAATCGAATCTGTTGTAATTTAAGATGATTTTAAATAATGTAATATATATATATTTTTTTAAGAATATGATACATTCCCTAAGAATTAATAAGTCTTCCATTTAGTAACAGCTATTCAGATGTGTAAGTTAATTCTTTTGTCTATGTAAATTTTCTGCAGACAGGATTGGAATTGGAAATCGAAGTTAGTCAAAAACTAGTTGCGGTAAATGCTATAGCGGAGAAGCACGGTGATCTGAATGCGAGTGATTTTATCATCACCGGTTTCATGGAAGATCAGATGAAAAGCGTTAACGAATTTGGAAGATTAACGACCGTATTGTCGGGTGTGGGAGATCAAGCATTGGCGCGATTTCTATTTGATAAGAATCTACTCGAGAATCATATCATGTTCAAATCTCAAAATGTTCTAAGAAGTAACTCTCAGCAAAAAAAGTTTGATAAATAACTACATATGTCTTCTTGTAAAAGTGTTTTTTTTTTTTATAAATATATTCCTATATTATATATATTATATCGCTTTTATTCTTTAGAATTGTAGCATTCTTTTATAAAATTGTCTGCGCGAAAAAAATTTGTGTATTCAAGATTAAAATTGGCGGAAAAGGAAAGTCTCGTTAAGTCGTAATCACACTAACAATTGTGCGATTGTGATTGGCGATTACTTTCAACCAATCAGAACAAAGCAATCGTCATTGCTGGTTGAAAAGTAATTAACAATAGCCGTTCATAATCGTTAGTGCAAAAAATGCAAAAGATGTAAGTAATACAAATAGATTTATTGTAAATGCAAATAAAAAATGGATGTTACACTCCGCCCCTCCCCTCTGTAGATTTATCAGAATTATTAGATGCTATGGAAATTAAGCATGCTTAAAAATTGAGCACTGAAAATTATAGCGTTTTTTATTGAGAAAATTAGTGCACTCTAGTGCAATGGAGTGCAAATCTATTTATATATTTTCAGCGTTAATAAATCCTTTTAAGGTTATGAAGTCTTTGTGACAGCGAAGGATATTAATTAGATTTACATTATTTATATTAATACAACAAATATAGAATAGATTTTCATTCAATTGCACTCAATGTGCATCAGTGTTGCACTAGTTCTAGTGGAAAACGCTATTAGGGTATATTTAACATGCGATCTTTATAAAAAAAATGATTAGATAATTTTCTTTATGTATATGTTTATGCGGTTATGTAAGTGTATGTGCGAAAATATCCTTAGAGTTTGGTCAATTTGGAAAATCGAATAATTTTAATATTATATCAGTTTTTTTCGATTAGCCAAATTCCAATAACCAATACACGGATATGGTCCTCAATCTTCCCTCATTCCGATACAATTTAATGAAAACGCATACATAATACATTACACGTGACACATGTAAGTGGGGACATAAGGAACATGGCCGCCATAGTTTCGTTGATTTGTTGGTGTTAGTTGGACAATCGACAAGGGGGGTCAAGGTATTTAATCAAGGTTGCAAATGCGATTGCTCATTGCTGACAGTGCACGTTAATTAATTGCGTCTCAGCATCATTAAATTCACGGCAACGAGATTTGCCACGTATTTCCGGGACGTCAAACGATCTTATCTCCATTTTTTTTTCATTTTTTTTATACAAAAAATTTCCTCGGACGATGTGAGAAGATACGTGATTCCTTCCCCCCCTTTGTAGTTCCTTTCTTCCACCTGTAGATATAGTTTATCTATCGAAAGAATATACCATTCTTTGCTTTATTCTTGAACGTGTCCTCACGTAGCTAATCTCAAAGGAGTCTGAAGGAGTGATTCACACGCGGATTTCACTAAGAAACGAAATAGAGAGCAGGGACAATAAAATTTCATTCTTCGTTGCCGGGTAAGTTTGTACGATGGCGAGTGATCTGTCAAGCGGCTGCACGGAGACAATCGACATCCTGGACGATGAGAAGGAAGAAGGCGAGATTTCATTGGAGGATGTCAGTTCGTCTGAAGAAGGTGGAATGGGTCATCTGACTAATAACTACATCGTCGGTAGGATGCGTGCATGCCCTGATTGCAAATCTTGGAGCGATTGTGCTACCTGGTGTAACGCAACGTATCATCCTAAGAACCAGAGCAGGAGAGGTAAAGTCATACTGGACCTCATATTCGTATCTGTTGTTCAAGATGTTTCTTTTTTCTTTGATCATATTTCATACTTGTGTTTCAAGTTAAGGCCTGGTTCCATGTAAAATTAACTTTAATTTAAAGTTTATCTTCTTCCAAATCTTAAAATCCAATTTAATCTTTATCGTTTACTAATTCTAAGAAACAGTAAGCTAAACCGAGAATAAAGTTAATCTTATATTGATGGAACTGGATCTAAGAGATTCAAAGATATTTCCTCTTGGATCTTTTATTTATTTACGCGTATATTTTGTTTCTGATATATGTATATATATATATATATATATAAAGATTTTGAAGATATAAATATAATACAAAGAAGCAATAATTGTTATAAACAATAAAATTATTGTAAAGGGCACATATAAGAGTCGATTTAACAAAATAATGTAAAAATAATAATAATAATTTTTACACTCATTTTTGTTAAATTGACTCTTATATGTCCTTTACAATCATTTTATTGTAAATGTTTTTAATATTAAAAGTCCTTTATTGTTTTATATGATTTGAATAATTGTTATGATTTTACAATTATATTCCCCTAAGAAATGTATTCTGATATAGGTTTCTTTGATTTCTGTCACTACAATATTTTACATATTGCTTTTAATTTCCCACACAGTACAAATCTTCAAAAAACATTCTTCTCAAAGAGACATCCAGAGGACAGAATTCCTTTGTCTTTTGAATCTTAAAGATGTCCCCAGGACGTCTCTTGGATAAGTGTGTTATGTGAATTTTATTGATTACAATATAATCAGATAGAAATTTTATACAGATTCCTATTTTAATAGATTTATTTTTGAAAAAAGTCTTAATAAATACTAGTCTGTATGTATATAACGAAAAATTCATATGTCTGTATGATCTTTCAATGATAATTAGAATAGTAATTATTTGAACTATCTTGTTTTAATCAAGTAGCAGTTAATCTTATTTTATAAGATCCAGTCAAAGGGAAGGAAAACCGTCACCATGTCAGAGAAACGGGATTTGCTGCAACAAAGCACATGGCATCGACGTTACAAGAGAAAAATGATGACCTAGTACCAATCTCTAGCGACAGCGACATGGAAATTGTCGGTCTCACAGATACATCCAATCGATCAAAGACTAAAGTAAAAAAGAAAAAAAGAAAGAAAAAGGAATATGAATCCCTCACTATCGATGAATTGATTTCTCCGACCTCCATCGATATGTTATCGTCTATAGCAGAAGTCAATAAGGCGAAAATATATAGGGAAGTAAGTCCAACTCATAGATCAAGTGGCAGATCAAAGATGATCTCGAAATCGCCAGTTCGAAGATACAGGTCGCCAGTGATAGCACGATCGTCGTTTCAATCTTCTCGATCTCCGCTGAATCATTCCAGATCTCCGATATTAAAGAAATCACCGCGAAAGGTCAGATCCCCAAAACGTAGTCTCCGTCGTCACTCACCCGTGAAAGCAGCGAAGAGACTGCCGTCGAAGTTGAGCTCGCCGCAGTTTACTCGTTCCTACGTCGATAGGCATGGCGAGGTGACGCGATTGTTGAAAAAGGTGAAGCATCTGGATTCTATAGGAACTCAAGCATCAGAACCGAGCGTCAACCGTAGTAAGGAATCGTCGTCGCTGAAGGAGAAATTATCGAATATGAATATACTAAACAGAGTCAGCAGCGACGACCACGTGCACCTCAAGGGAAAATCGAAGATTGGGTCCAAGACAGTCGACGATGCCGACGATGAGGACGATCTGGCATTGCTGCGACAAAAGGCGTTAGAGACAAAGCAGAAAAAGTCTAGTAGATCGGAGCAATCAGCAGATGTAGAATCAGAAAAGAGATTGGCTGTGAATAACGATGACCAGGACGAGGAAGCTTTGCAACTTCGTATGATCGCTCTGCACTCAGCGATCATGAAGAAGCATCAGAATCGAGTTGAACGCGGTATTAAGACCAAGAGACCTACTCGCAGTGAAAGTCCGTTTAGTTCGAGTTTTCTCGATGATATACCTGTGCCTAGCGATGAGCTGTTGAAATATGCGTCGCCACCATGCACACCGTCACCCGAGAGCAATCACATTGAAGACATGGACTTGGATACTGACATCGAAAGGGAGAAAGAGAAGTTGCCATATTCGCCGACCGATAAGATCACCGAGAACGTTCCTATCGACACAGCGTTGCTTGGAATCGAGCCATCTGACGTATCGTTCATTAACGTAAACGAGAACATCGGTAGCCCGGTCTTTGACGACGCACAGGATGAACTTGCAACGAATAACGTCACATCCTATTATAATGAAACTTACTTACCTTACCAAGCACTTCCAAATAAGCCGCAATTCTATGCGCATTCGCCATCACAGTACAACGAGGCCTTTCATTCGGATTTAAATGATGTAACCGAAAAAGGTTTTGAGAATCCTCATGGGAACGGTGTTGTTTGTGATCTAATAGATGGAATTTGTTGTCAAGAAGGTACTTATTCCTTAACAAATATGCCAGATACGCATGATCTTCCAGTGACCAAGGATCTTCTCACCCCTCCTGTCTCTTCCTATGGCACTTTTGCTTCTTCTCTTCAGATGCAGCAAATCGTGGAGCAACCTGCCAAGGATAGTATTGTATTTGTGAATGTAGATTCCACATTTAGAAATGATAAACCCACCTACGAAATGCAGACAATCCCTCCATTTAATTCCGTTGCAAATGCTCCGACAACGGCGTACGCCGCTAGATACGCCGAGTCGATGTCGCCGAATGAATCGATGATAACGATCGATGATCTTCCGGAGGCATCTGTGGATCCATTAAACTCTCCCATTGGCGACGACATAAATTTACCGGCGATGGAATACATTCCAATGGAAGCAGCACCATGTCAAGCTGCTATAGAGAAAACATTACAGGAACCTTTATACATGCAAGGTATCCCAGAAGTTACTAAAGATATGAATAAAATACCTACGTTGATCAACAGAAAGCTGGTACCCGCGCCAATACTGAAATCGAATAAGCGGCTGCGACAATATTTGAAGAAGCTGCGCGAAACGCTGCCAGAGTCGCAGTCAGAGCCAGAGCCGACTTTTAAGAATGCTGAGATGCAACCGGTGACCGTTGTTGCCGCAAACACGAATAGCATTTTCAAACCTATAAAATTACAAGTAGTGAAAAAATCCGCGCCTGCTTTGTCGACGCTCCCTACGTTCGACAATTCAGTGAACGAATCTTTAGATACATCAGAGGATCAAAAAGGCTCATCCAAGGAAGATCATGAAACAGTTGAGCTGGGACAGACTGATGTCGCTACTACGTCGTCAGCGAATGAAACTACTCTAGCTCGGAGGAAAAGGAGAAAAAAGGAGAAACGCAGAAGGAAAAATACACGTTGGATGAAATGGTTTGAGAATGAAACGAACCCATGTTTGGATGCTGATGTAAATAGAGATACAATTATGAATGCGTCTACTTTAGATCACATTGCAACCGAATCTGATCAAAGCAAGAACAATGATAACGCTAGTATGCATAAGGTTTTAATAGAAAATGGAGAATTGACGAAATTGCAAAATATCACTGATACGCAAGAGTCTATCAACTCTGGTGATGTTTTGATCGAAAAGAGAGACATGGAGAATCACACAATACTATTAACATCCATCGAATATTCACAAGAAGAACAAATTAAATCCCATTGTTTGTCAACAAATTCCGCGCCAGACAATTCGAATTCTGACACAGTTAGCAAAGCCATCGATACGGTTAAAAGCGTTAGTAGAAGACAAAGCATTGACGAGGATGAGGACGAATTACGAGCCATTTTATTGGCTTCTTTAAAACGAACGAAATCAGCAGATATCAACAGTCCTCCAATTGCTCCAGCTATTCTGATTACAAACTCTATTGTAACGAATATCCAGACATCTGCATTAAATCAAGCATTGACAGATACCATGCCATCTACCATTAACACAACATGTACTGTGAGCAACAATGCTCCGTTATTATCGTCGAAGCCGTTGCCGTTGAAGCCATTACCGTCGGAACCATCGCCGTCGAAGCTGTCGCCGTCGAAGCCGTTGCCATCGAAGCCGTCGCCGTCGAAGCCGTCGCCGTCGAAGCCGTCGCTGTCGAAGCCGTCGCCATCGAAGTCGTCGCCGTCGAAGTTGTTGTCGAAACCATTACCATCGAAGCCTTTATCGGAAACAATAAAGAAGAAAATTAATGACGCATCTATCTCGGTGCAAAATGGCAGGAAAAGAAGCACCAGCCTAGATACGGTAAAGAGTCCTCCGAAAAAAATAATGAGAAAAGCAATTACAAGCACGAAGGTGGTAAACAACGCTAAGAAATATCAAAATATGATTGTGAAGAGGAGACTGAATCTACGAAAGATTGATAACAATGCGAAAACTAGCGAAAACGTATGGTCCAACGCTAACGCTTCAAAAATATCGCTGCATGCATCTGACACTCAGCGATTTGTGATAAGTTTAGGTTCCGATACGGATACAGAGTCCGAAGGCGAAAAAAACGAGTCTGTTTCTGTCGCGGAGAAACATCAGGCGCATCAGGAGATTCCCGCCGATTTCGAAAAGAACTTGAGTAAATTTCTGCGTGAGGTGAGAAACGAACAAGAACAGTCTGCAGCAGCTGCAGCGAAGTCACCCAGTTCGTCCACGCAAGCGACAAAGCGAGATGTGCCGCAAACGGCTAACGGTTCATCTAATGTGCACACGCCACTGGTAAGGCGATTGCATGTTTCCTCTAATTATTCTTTAATGTTAGTAATTTATATAAAAGAGATTAATATTATTTAGATTCGCAATTTGAAGGTTTATTATACTGAACAAGAATTGATCACTGGAACTTTCTTAATTTGTTCTGCAGATTTTTCTACTTTGTTGCAGGCCGTGAGGCATCTTCCTGCGTCACAGCAAGAGGAGTATCGTCGTTTGAAGCAGGAAATCTTGGAGCGCGAAAAGAAACTGCAGAGAAAAGTAGCAAGTAACAGTAGTAGTAGTAGTAATAGCAGTAATAAATTATCAAACACTAACGTAGCAAGCTCATCAATAAAATCTTTGTCATCGTGCGAAAAGAAAGCGCATGTTAAACAGAATCAAGATAATTTAAAAACGCCAGAGAAGAATCCTCCTCAAGAATCGTCAACAGAAGTTGGAAAGAAAAGCGACGACGTGACGAGAGATATGTCAGAATTAAATGTATGTTGTAAATCTGCTGAGAAAAAACTTTCAATGAATATTGCTAAACATACTAATTCCACACAAAGTTTTTTGCAAACTAAAAACTGTAAGAAAGCGATACCGAATAATCTCAGCATTCGAATTACTAACGTTACCGCTTCAAGTCATGTCAATGGTAGATCGGTCGAGAATTTGCGTGAGAAACAATCCGTGACAGACACACAGCAACATAGATCTGCTTTGAGAACATTAAGCACAGACGAGATAAATTGTAAATACATGCAAGTAATGTTGAAGCCGAACGCAATTGAGCGAGTCGTCACTATAAACGACAAATCAATTTTGCAACATGACATGACAATAAACGTCGGTCAAAATGAAAATCTGATCGAGCCTAATGTCAATACAGAAAATCTAGTCGAGAAAAATCTAAATGATTTAGATAGTAATAGTAGTAATTTTTCTACTGCATCTACTGTAAAACTTCCAAATTCATTTTCGAGTGAACACGAGGAGACGATGGAAACCACAATGTCACTTTCTCAATATAAAGCAGAATGTCAGCAAGAAATTAATCGTGATGAAGTATCAACATCTATACTTGCAGACAATAATAATAGCAACAATGGCTCTCATAAATCTGACTCAGTTACTGACGATAATAGTACTGCGAATGATATTTGGGACACACTTAAAAAGGATGTTAAAGCAGAAGTGGATTTCCTGACGAGTCTTCCAGAAGCGGAACAACAGCGACATTTGAGAGAAACTGAGCATAAATTAGTTGAAAAACGGTAATTACACAATAATTTTGTAGAGAAACAAACTATAATAATAGAGCGACACACAATAGAGCTTTCATATTAAATTATGTTATTTACATGATATAGGTATACGGTCTTAGATCATTTAGCAGAAATGTCAGGGAATCTTCGTCAATGGGATCTGGAGAAGGAAGTACAAACTACCCTGGCCAACGAAGTGAGAAAACTTAAAGAACAGTTAAAGATAGCTGAGGAAAGATTACAACAGCAGCGCAATCGCGTTAATAGCATGGGTCCAAAAGTTTCAACAGCACGTCAAAAGATCAATGATGGACGACGCGATTGCTTTAAATTATCCAGAATTTGTTCGACCCTAGGTAACCGACTCATGGGGAAAAATTACAAGTACGCAAGTATGAAAACCACAGATGCATGTGGCGTAAATATTTAATGACAAATAATTTAGATTATCTTATATGTAAATAAAGAAAGAAATTCTGACGTTTCTATTTTTAGTGTATATTTTGATTATAAACATTGTTCTTTTAGGTTGCCAGAGGCGGTAGATCAACTTTTAAGTGATAAACTCAAGGAGGTTGCTAATCATACGCGTCAGTTCACCAAGAAGAAGCGACTCCAAACTAATGATATTTCTGAAAATTCCTATTCTAGTATGTTACAAGAAACTTTATCTAAAGATATATGCATTGAGGAAAATCTGTCACAAGAACAGCCAATGAATGATGAAGCTGTGATCGTTGAGACGGAACCGAGAAAAGATACTTGCTTGACACAATCTAATCAAAATAAGAGTTTATCGACAGAAATCTCACTAGATTTCTCACAAGTGATTCCATGCCAATCAACATCAGAAAGGAGAGAAAAAACTTCAGCAAATGCATCGAATCATTGTAACGAGGAACAAGTCATAACTCTTAATCAAGATAATGTGTCATCTTCTGAACCAAAGTTATACCAAAGTAATCCTACAGAACAAAATAATGAGCACACAAAAGAAAGTAGAACGAACAAGTCTGATCCCGCCGCATCTTTAGAACTAAAGTCATCAGCGACTGCTTCCTTAAGTTCAGAACAAAATGAACAGATTAACGAAAAAGCCTCGCCGCTACTGCCATCGCCATCGCCGACAACAATAACGACGACGACAAATACAACGATATATACAACGACGACGAGGCAAATTGCACCTTATATATCGATATTGTCACATTTAAAGAAACCAAGGTGAGTGTTCCTTTTTTGAAAAATAAATACGATATTTGATCATCCATTGTCTGTGGCCTATTCTCAAAATCTTGAGGATTTTTGTGGTTTCTGTTACTCTTTTCGCCAGGAACATCAACCCCCATGGAATTCTGTGTCCGTACGAAATGATGGGCATTTGCAGGGACGAGGATTGCCAATACATTCACCAGTCGAGGAATCAAACCTGAAATAATAATTACATACTACCGAACATATTCAACATGACGTAAGGTGGTTCTAATTTCTCGTCAAATGTGTCAATGTGGATCACACACTTTACAATACATTAATAACATTTCAATTCGTAAATATCATAAGCTCACGCGTTTAATTCCTTGATTATATCTTGATTTCTAAAATCTAATTGTTCACTATATATGTATATATATATATATATATTGGATATAATGTAAGATAGTCGCGTACACATAAGAAAGAACAAAAAATAGTTTTAATCATCTCCTTCAAGCAAATGTCTTTGATTTCGTATTTACAGGTATCATCGATTATCCTCTAGGAAATAGATATATCAATATAGGCAGGTTGTGATGTTATGCGGAGCTAACACTCGAAGATCGGTAAGTTGTCTTCATCCATGGCAGGCTCTAGTGCATCGACCGAAATTATCGTTTTGTTTCGCAAAATTCTTACATTTTTATGTAAGATCTCTATTTTAAAACATCGTGCTACTACGGGATCTCGAGAGGTATCCGTATTTTATTGAAAGTTCAAATAAAATTTCGACCAGTGTATATTTTTTACAATTATAAGAAAAAAAGTGTCTAAACTGCAAGATCAACCAGTGTGGTAAAGATAAATAGAAGAAGAATCTATCGACCATACTGAAAAAAAGAAGAGTTAAGATTGAAAAGAAGAGAAATCCAGCAATTATGGATCATCGGACAATTAGTAATTTTTTCTTCGTACTTCGATAAGTTACCTCATATTAATAAATCTTGTACCTGTATAATAAAAGTTAAATATTTTTTTCTTATCTGAAGTGTAAATTAATTACATATATTCCCTCCCTGTCTTGTATATTGTATAGTCTTTATTTAATTCTCTTTTATTTAAATTTTTACATCTCTTTCTTAATTAGCAAAATATATACGATCGTTTATATAATCGTAATTATTTCGTTTTAAATATTATAAAATTTTAATTTTATTCCACATAATCGATTTCTCTCTCTTTTTATTCGCCATATTTGTTGCCGGGGAAATCGCCTTGAGTTCTGTATTTATGCCAAGGTAATCTGCCTGTAAGTCTAAGTTCATCCCACTTTTCCACCCAGAACTGCGGACATATGGACGTGAAAACATCTTTAAACCATGTACATGCTTCGGAATTTTGACCTAAAATATGCTCACAGCGATAAAAGTCAGTATACATCACGAAACATCTCTGCGTCTGATTTTGTTGCTGAAATCTGCAAAACGGAGTTGACAAAAAAATATCCCTGAATTAATTATGAACACCGCAATTATATATATATATATATATATATATA